CAATCCCCAAGAACTCCAACCCAACCAGACTCAATGACTACCGCCCGGTAGCCCTCACCCCCATTATCACCAAGTGCTTGGAGCGACTGGTCCTAGCACACCTCAGATCCTGTCTCCCCCCCACCAATTTGCATACAGGCAGAATAGAAGCACAGAGGATGCAGTCTCCATAGCACTGCGCACTGTCCTTTCTCACCTGGACAGCAAGAACACTTACACCAGAATACTGTTCTTAGACTTTAGTTAAGCATTTAATACTGTCATCCCATCACAACTCATTAACAAACTCACGGACCATGGCATCAGTTCACTCATGTGCAACTGGTTGCTATACTTCCTGACCGGTTGACCCCAACATGTTCGGCAGGACAACCATTGCTCATCCACCACCATTATAAACACCGGAGTGCCACAAGGTTTGTGTGATGAGTCCCTTCCTCTACTCTCTCCTAACCCACGACTGCAGACTTGTCCAAGGCTCATCAAGTTTGGCATCATCAAGTTTGCAGACGACACCTACAGGGAGGTGGTGGAATGTCTGGCTGAATGGTGCGACAAAAACAACCTGCAGCTGAACACCGAGAAGACCAAGGAGCTCATTATGGACTTCAGGAGGAGCGTTGACCTACACCCACCCATCCAAATCAAGGGGATAACTGTGGAGTGTGTGGACAGCTTTAAGTTCCTGGGAGTCCACATCTCAGAGGACCTAACCTGGACGATCAGCTGCTCCAAGCTCATCAAGAAGGCACACCAGCGCCTCTTCTTTATCAGGACCCTGAGGAAGAACCACCTGTCCTTAGAGATCCTCACGAACTTCTACCGCAGGTGAGAGCATCCTCACCAACTGTATTACAGTTTGGTACGGGAACTGCTCTGTCGCCGAACGGAAGGCGCTGCAGAGGGTGGTGAAAACTGTCCAGCACATCGCACCCCTCCCTACCATCAAGGACATCTAGAGGAAGCGATGTCTGAAAAGGGCCTGGAAAATCACCAAGGACTTCACTCACCCTGCACACACACTCTTCTCCCTCCTGCACTCTGGAAGGTGTTACAGAAGCCTACGGCCAGAACCACCAGGCACCGGAACAGCTTCTTTCCCACAGCTGTCATGTTCCTGAATGCCTCCTGACACAACTTTAAGGACAAAAATAACATATGGACTGTCCTCACACTCACACACATACCATGGACTGTTCCTCTCACACACATACACAATCTGTGTACAATCTGTATATAATCTGTAAATCTTATCTGCCATTATTTATCTTGTATTATAAATCCGCTAATACATATATAATCCTTTTCTGAACATTCCTGTATATTCTGTATAATCTGTGCATGTAGCTCCCACATTCATATTTATATTTATACATGACTTTTACAGTCCCTAACTATTACTTTTTGCTTGTAGATACACCTGTAATAATATTTAAATCCTGTATAGCACTTCTGGATAGATGCAAACCACATTTCGTTGCTAAAGTTGAATTCTAATTCTAATTCTAATTCTAATTAGAAATCTCTTTTAAATTCCACTGATAGTTGGGAATATATGCAGGATATTGTACAAAACTGAACCAAAATCCATATCTACTGGTCTTTTCACAGACAATATATAACTTTAAATCACATTATTTCAAACAGAAACCTTACATGGTAATGTTTGATCTACTTTGACCAGACAGGAACGCAAAATGCAGTATTTTGTGCTTGTTAATCAGTTTAAATCACACCAAGAATATCTGTATAAACTACCTAATCTGTAAATTGGGACCAAAGGATGCATGTCTTTGATTCCTTACAAGTATGGGGAATATAGCCGTCATGTATTCACCCTTATATTCTAATACAGTTTAATAAGATCCGAATCTATATACTGTGTATTTGTGTATTAAGAGATCCAACATGCCAGTAAGGATTTGTGTCGAAGATTCAATCACATTAAAAGCCAAATCTTTAATCTGTCATCCAAGAATGAAGAAAGCGCGGCACAACTGCACAGTCTGCATGGTGTTGCAGACTCTAACACTGTTGCCTCAGAAGGTCTTAAATAGCTTTGATTCCTAGCCAAAGGGTTTTTCTGCACTGAGTTTGCACGTTTTCCACATGTTCTTACTGGTAACCCGCTTCCCACTGTCCAAAAAGTTTATTAGTGACTCCAAAGGGTGTGCATGGTTGTCTGTCTCTATTGACCTGCAACGGACTGGCAACCTGTCCAGGGTGTATGCTGCCTTTCGCTCATTACCTACTGGATATAAGCACCAGCCCCCTGTAGCCTGACAGAAAATAAATAGGAGTTTGATACATCGATGCGGGACAACTACAATCCTACTGATATATGGCTGCAAGAAGAGCATTAAATAAGCAGCATAAAACCTCACAGTTGGTCTAGAGGAGCAGCAGAAAACCATAGGTGGAACAATATTGAGGCACAAATACGCAATGCACACTCCATTAATCTGGCCTTATTGGAAGAGGGAAAGCAGAGTTGGGTAAAAACTATTTACTTTTAATATGTTAGTATCACTTGCGTAATTGCGGGAAAAAGTATGTTCTAGAAACTGTTTTCCATCTTTTCTTTTATTCTTAAATAAGAGGAGGCTACAATGGTATGAATGTTTGGATCCTTTTGCAAGGCAACAATAATTTCTAACATAAAAGGGTCTATGTTTCCTAAGTTTCAGTGATGAATATAAGATGGTCATAGGGTTATTAACCCATCGATGGGAGGTATGTTGCTCCCCTTTTGTCTGCATGTGTGTGTCTGAGCCTGTCCTCCCCTATGACCAATGTATCATACACACCGCCAGGGTATTCTATAAATAACAACTTGATGTTCACTTATGGGTGGAGTATGTCTGGGGAGGTGTAATAAATGTTGTAAGAGTGTTTGTGTTGTTCTCATCTCCTTTGCTTCTTGCAGTTGGTGGTCCGTTAACTTTTATCAGAAGAGTCATCTTTGTGGATCTCAATCTCTGACCTTCAGGCACATAGTCTCACTCACAATGCCCCTCAGGCGACTAATAAGTTCCGGGAGCATGCAGCAATCACCCGCTCCCCCAGCTTAAACAGCATGGTGGCTAACCTCCACTCACCACATGGTAGCATGGGTTCCTCAGCTGCACTGCTGAGGAAGTGTGCATGCTTTGTCAGCCTAATGTCAGATTACAGCTTAACTGACTTCGGTTGTCTTTTGGAACACTTGTAAGGAAATCATTTGGCTCTGATATGTTTATGAGCTTCCGTGTTAAATATGGCTAAGAAGCTGGCAGTGAGCCTATGACTAAAAATAACCTTTTAATGCTTCAGTGAAAAATGATAGAACCATTCAGCTCCTTCATTCATGATATCAATCTTGACTAGCATTCTTTTACAGATTTAGCTTAGATATAGCATAAAAGTGTGTGTTTTTAAAAGCATATACATGAATGCAATTAGAGCTAGATATTTATATAACACTTAATTATTAAAATATTTAAAATAATTTAACCAACTAAAAAAGGAATATTTATCTAAATTAAAGTATATTATTTGATATAGCCAGATAAATTCCACATGAGCCACAGTTAAATGAACAAAGAGTTTTCTGTAGCTTTATTTGAAACAATGTTTTGGTTTTGTTTGTTTTTTTGTTTTTGTTTTTTAATTATATATCCACAGTGAGTCTGCTCCAATTGAGGCAAGAAATTCGTAAATACAGAGAGAAATTATGTATATATATATATATATATATATATATATATATATATATATATATATATATATATATATATATATATATATATATATATATATATATATATATATATATATATATATATATATATATATATATATATATATATATATATATTTAAGTATTTAAAAAATCATCCTTTACTTACTTGATGTCTAATATCTTAATCTTAGATCTTAATATAACAATTTTTTCTTTCACCTTATAACTGTTATTCTCATTCTGGTCTCTTCGAGTCTTTCACACAAACAATGACAATGTGTTGAAGGCTTATTGGCCATCTTTGGTGAAAAAAAAAATTAAGATTTTTACAGTTTGCAGTTTATTTTGTCATCAACACTTCAAAAATTTTTTAAGATAAACTGTGATAGAAAATAACTTCTATACAAGTATGCATTAAAAAACTAAACAAATATTTGATTATAATGGATCATTTGATCTGTCCAATTTAAAGTTTCGTTACAACTGCAAAAGAAGCTTAACAATATATATATATATATATATATATATATATATATATATATATATATATATATATATATATATATATATATATATATATATATATATATATATATAAGCTTTTATTATTATTAAGCTGTTATTGTTTTTTCTCATCCCAACTCCTCCTTCGTAAAAACAAATGATTCCTCTGTTTATGAAGCCACTGCAGAAGGTATGTTTATTAGACAGAGAAGCAGTTGTATGGTATTACTGATTGCATTATAGGACATACTGTGAATGACTATAGTGGAAGAGAAAAACCTTCAAAACTATCTCCTAAAACCAGGTGTGCTCTGGAACCCGGACATCATGGTATATGTACGGAAGAGCCTTTACCCCCTCAACACTCTCTGGAAATGGTACAGTCCATTTAAAAACGTTCCTGTCATCTCTCAGTGCTCTGTGTCCTTTCAACAGTCAGCTGCGGGGTGCACATTTCACTGGGGTAGTGCTGGCTCTCAGACACACACATGCACACATGCTGCTACGGAGATCTCCGAAACACACACACAGGCATGCTTTCACACTGACACACACACCGTTTCTGCTGAAACGTATACTCCCTCTTGCAAACACATATTTCCCCTGAGCCAGATGCGTCTCTTTAACTGGAAAGGACAAACAGCTCTGAGGATTTAAGTTTACATTTTCATAAACAAAAGAGTGAGAGAACTGAAAGAGAAGGATTTTATTCCTAGACAGGAAATGGTCAACTTGTCAGCATGACATCGTGTTTGGATTCCCCTCTGTCCCCCAGGCAAAAATCCTGAAAATGATGGATGACAACAAGCAGCTGGCCCAGCGCATCGATGGGGCCATTCAGTCGGCCAGCCAGGAGGTGACCAACCTGCGGTCAGAGCTGAGCGCCACCAGCCGCAGATTGGCTGAGTTGGGAGCAACGGACTCTTCCGCCAGCATGCTGGAGACAGTGCAGCACAACCACAACGGTAAGCGAGCCTGTGAGTGCAGCCTGCCCGAGTTGTGTGCTGAGAGGTGGCAAGAATGTGGAGCCAATAAGTGCCCTCCAGATAGAGCTTGCAAAGTGCCCCCACTCATAAGCAAAAGTGGCTATTTCAGTGTGAGAGAGTGGATGGATTGAGTGAAAATGTGTCCGTTCTCTGTTGACTTGTGTCCACTTTCAGCTGTCCCAAAATGCACTCTCATGTTGAATAATTAACCCCTTGAACTTTCGAGGTGGAAGGGAGGGGGAGTTAAGGGGGTGGGTGGTGCACTTGTGTAGAGGCAGAGTGGGTAAAGTTACAGCGTCTTTTCACTCTGTGCTCTACTTTTCCCTTAGCTTGACAGAGGACCGGTGTCTTTTGAGAGGCAAACGAGAGGGCTGGATTTCGGGTTGCTGTGGGTTACTGTTTCCAAGCCCTTTGAATGTCTGCCCAGTGTGTCCTCTTAATATATACACACTGCACCCGCTTTCTCCATTGTTTCTTGACACTCTTACTCTTCAAACTTTTTGTATAACAGATGGTATTGAAATTTTTTTTATTGATGCATAACTGTTTCTGCCTCATCAGTGTGTAGGTGAATGGGTTTAATAGCTTCTTTAAACTTCTACCATGCACACTAATGCAGAAAGTCCTGCTGTTTCCATAGCAGTCAGCTGGTACAGTGGACTGAAGGATCGGATATGGCCCGTCCACTTTGGCAGCTTGCTGTTCTGAAACATTTCCCTCTCACACTTCCAAGATCAAGCTCCCTGACAGACCTGTGGTATTTCCTTCCCTACATGCTGAAACTGTTGGGTAGGTTTCCTTTTATACTGACAGGGAGTACTCTAATGACCCCTTGCTTTACTTTTTTTAAATCAGGAAGAAAGTGAACACTGGTCGTCTTACACAGCTGATCGGGAGGCAGTTTGGAGTGGTGTCAGCTCTGTTTTCAGCGGCTTTGTCTCTTCCTGAGTGTGCTGTGTGCTGCGTATTATCCCTTTAACAGTGATGCACATTCGCATTCCTGCTGTTTCCATAGCAGTGTTTGTGTGCGTGTATGTGTGTGTTAGTGAAAGGGACGCTGAGCATTCCTCTGGGAGGGTTTTGATCACTGATGTCACCATCCATTGTTTCTGCTTGCTGGCTTTACTGAAATGATGCCTGAGATGAGGAGATTATGCAGCGATACTACACACATCTGTGAGAATATTCCTAGATATTCACATTTCTAGCGCAAAAGTAAATTTTTGCTGGTTCATGTCTTTGTTTGACCTCTGGGTCCTGTATATCTTCTTGTGTCCAAGTCAATATATCTTTTGTTTCATTCCACTTCACACCCACTTCTTCCAATCTGTCCTCAACCCCCATTCTCTTCTAGCAGCTTCCTGCAAGCTTTGGACGTAAAGCATAAATGACTGGGAAAGGGGGTTAAGGTAATTCATCACAAGAGGCTGCGTGGATTGGGAAGGGAGGTGTGTGGTAAGGGTCGATGGTTCATTGCACAGCCGGTAAAAGTAAAAACCCCAAGAGAACGCGTGCTGGGGGCACATTCTGTCCCTTCACTACATGCAGCACTAACCTGTCTAGCAAACCAGCTGACTTTAATTGCATTCCTACTGCCTGTGGGGTTTGCATTTGCATGTTACATTTGCTTCAGTGATGTAAAAAAGGGACTATTCATGGAACTATTCTGATATTCTGTGGAGAATTTTATTCTTGTTAAAATATTAGAACCCTCTTGTTCAGTGCAAAGATATTTCACATCAGGACATAGTAAATGTATGTTTTTACCATTAAGTATCTACTAGATAAAACCCTGCAGGGAAATAGAAACATGCTTATTTCACTTTACAGGGCTGGTATCATGACTTTTTACAGCTTTTCCAAGCCAAAAAGATATAAGGCTTTTAACTAATATTAGTCATAGTGATTATAATAAAACTTAAAAAAAATGTGTAAAAAAGAAAAGCAAAATTTGTGAAAGAAATTGTTTTGAAAATCAAATGTAGGTTTCCACTTATAGCAGAAATTGGAAATTCTCATTCCAGTGAACATTTTTATTGGGTGGGGTGGGGGTCAGGATTAATGTTAAAAGAGAGCAGAAGCTTAGCTAAGAAGCCAGTGCCCTCTAGAAGGATTTGAATGGTGCTCTTTTAAAAGGCTGGTGTGCCATCCAGCAAGGTGTTTGAAATACCAAATAAAAGCTAGTAATCATGACTGAGTGGTTTGTGATTGAACTCCATCTCTGAACATTGGCAGATGTTTTAGACTGACACGGGGGCATGAAAAAAAGAGCATGGTATTGAGCAGGAATTTAAGGGACATTCAATGTTTAATCCTTCCAAGGTATATATATATATATATATATATATATATATATATATATATATATATATATATATATATATATATATATATATATATATATATATCCTGTATTAATCAGGGGCTAAGAAACAAGAGGCATCAACAGTGGTACTCTGATGTATTCAGTACTGGAGGATTTCCCAGAAAAGTGTTTTGGGAAGAATTTTATTTACTGCAAAGGGGCTTTTACAATTTATTCATTTCCAGCTAAGGCAGCTGGCAAAGATCAAACCAGTCCTTCAGAGACAGCACTTTGAGACAGTAATCCACGCCTTTGTGACCACTCGGCTGGATTACTGTAATGCACTTTATGTGGGGATTGCTGGGTCCTCAATTGCTCGTCTTCAACTTGTTCAAAATGCTGCTGCACGTCTTTTAACTGGCACACGCAAGTACGAGCACATTTCACCTGTTTTAGCTTCACTCCACTGGCTGCCCATCCATTTTAGGATTCATTTTAAAATTCTTTTATTTACTTTTAAAGCCTTGAATGGCCTTGCCCCAATTTACCTCTCTGAGCTTCTGCACCCCTACACTCCCAGCCGATCTCTCAGGTCAGCTGATCAGCTGCTCCTGACAGTGCCTAAAGCAAGGCTTAAGCTCAGAGGGGATCGAGCGTTTTCTGTTGCAGCTCCAAAACTCTGGAATGCATTGCCGCTGCACATTAGACAGGCCACCTCTCTGTCTCATTTTAAAACTCTTCTTAAAACCCACCTCTTTTCTTTGGCTTTTAACACCATGTAGAGTGTTGATTTTATGTATACATGTTGATTTTATGTACACATGTTGATTTTATGTACACATGTTGATTTTATGTTTACACATGCATATTTTTATCCTGTGCGGGCAGTGCTTTTATTTTATTTTATTACTTTTATTTATTTTAGTTATTTTATCTTTTTGTGCAGCACTTTGGAAACCTCGTGTTTATTTAAACCGTGCTATATAAATAAAGTGGATTGGATTGGATTGGATGGTGCTGCATTTGAACAGTTGGAACACTTAGTAAAGTTGCTCTGTTTATTTTTTTTCTTTAAATCTCTTTAATGGAAGAAAACAGATTAACAAGCTCTGGAAAATAAGCTCTAATAAAGTGTTGTTTTTGACAGGCATCTTAGATTTAGTCCTCGTTTTAGTCTTTAGGATGAAAACTATTATTAGTCTTAGACACATATTAGTCATTACGATATGTGATATTTTTACTTGGGTCTTATTCGACTAAAACTTAAAAAGGTTTGAGTCTAGTTTTTGTTAGTTTTACGTTGCAAAAAAAGTTAACCCTCACAAATTCGAATAACAACCAGATTGTTTCCAAAACTGACAGCTCTTGCCTAGATACTACAATTGCTGGGTATAGAATGCTGCTGTGCAGTATCATTGGTTTTGGGCAGAAAGATTTGACTTTTTTTTATTAATTAATGCCCAACTTTAAAAAAACAGTGTCTAACAAAAGTTGTAAAAATAGCAGATCTAGTTCAACAGATCATACTGATTAATATAGCAGACAGACAAGCTAACAAAATGTACAATAAAGGAATGGTTTTAGACATACAAGGTTTCCATCTAAAAGCAACAATTCCTGATCTACTATGAATTATACATTACACACAGATCAATAAAATCCTCATTGCTCCAAAAAAGAAAAGAACAAAAATATTCTTCTTTCTATTTTTGGCAATTTTGGCTTTATTTCTTCAGTTTGCCCCTTGGTTACCGCTGCTCAGGGGTCAAAGTAGTTTAAATTCACAGAGTTTTGATATAAAAAAAAATACAGAGAACCTACATAATTGCCTTGTAATTCCATGGCAATTCAGACCTAAATTAAATGAATATGCTTATAAAAATTTTGACATATTAAAAAGAAACCGAAAATGTTTTAATGAAAATACATGGAAAGATTTAAGGCATATTTAAACAGAAATGGGAACAATGAGAGAGAAGTATTCGAAGATCTATTTACCTTTTCACCTGGCTTTTTATTCAAAAATAAACAGTATGCAATGAAATATTTGCTTTGGATATAATTTAGGGATTCCTTTTGGTAGAAATAAGTATCACCACTTGTGAGCTGGAAGAAAAAAAATCTTAGTTAGACAAGTTAGACAAAAGGATTTTTTTTACACTTGGCAGAGGATGATCAACCACATAGTTTATTAAGTAGCGAGAGAAGAAGGAACCATACTGCTGAGCACACACCATCAGTGGAGCATAAAGCGCAGACACGTGCAAAGACTCATTTCTGCACAAGCACAGCTGGAAGAACATAGTTTGTGAGTTCAGCATCCAGTACCGGACCATTCCGGGTTATTTTTTTCCTGCCGCTACTGCCATCAAACAGGACCCAGCAGCATGTCTGATACTGCTTAGCCGATTACAGCACAATGATGCATTTTAAATGTCTGACCGACCACCCGCTAATTTTTATTTAGTCTCTTCGCATCTCGTTGATGAAAAGTCAAAACTATGACTAGTAATAGTCTTCAAAGTTCCATGTTTAGCTTGTCAGTTTTCATTATCATGAAAAAAGGAGCATCAACAAAATAGTTTCGTCATCGTCATCATTGATGTGAACAACCGTGCTCTAATACAGGTGTGAATACAATTGTAACACTTGCAAATCATGCTCATCTTGCTAA